AAACCAAAAACAAAAAAACCACAACAAATAAGGACAATCTATGATGAGCTTGGTCACTCAAGGAGCAGTTTGGTTGCATGGAGCCTTGTTGGGTACACAACTTTCTCAATGTACACCTAATCGCTTGGTGTAAACATCATTGGTACTTTGTGGTTAACAGGGATTCGGCGTTCAAAGTATCGGCCGAGTCCAACACAATTCACCTCCCTCGTATCCAACTGGGCATTTTCCGTTCTGTAAACCATGAGTCTCACTAGACTCGTAGTTAACCCAGAGACATCTCAGTTGATTCAGCCTATTGTCCCCTTGCCATCATCGAATTGCAGTGTATCATCTAAGACTATACCGTGACGCCACGGGCTGAATTTGTCAGCATATCACACTTATTCTTCTATCTAGCGCTTTGTACATATCAATTAATATCATTACATAAGGCCAAGACTGATTCATGTCAATGCTCTTCGAGTTGATGACTGTACTGTGCTATGACTATGTTTGCCTATGTCTGAAGTCATATAAGTGAATATTCATTTAATGGGCATCCTTTATTTCATAGAAATTGGATAGAATCTCCTTGCGTAGCAAGGGCCAACCAATCCAACTTTCAGGCATCACAATAGGTTTATCACCTGAAAAAGAAGTGTGCGGCCAACATTAATAAGGAAGCTATCAGCCAGTATGTTTAGAAAAACATCCAGTCAAGGAAGCACAAGAAGCTGGAAGAGGGAAAAAAGTTAAGCCGATGGTACACATCAGATTTCGAATAGTAATGAAACGATTTTGAACTCACATGCTCACCACTACTTCACAATAAATCAAGCAGCCTATGTAAACAAATGATTATATATGGGTCTTCTACAGATTTTGAACCCCAAAAGCATATACAAGTTTGTTAGAATTCTTATTTTTATGTTTTATATTTATGTAGGGTAATATTGTAATTACCCAAGATAGAGTTCAATATAAATAAAAGAGTGTAGGGCAACACTGCTCACACACATATTATTCTCTCGTTTTCTTCCTTTCTTTCTCTTTCTCTTTCTTTCTTTCTTTCTTTCTTTCTTTCTCTTTTTGTTCTCCTTTTCTCAAAAATAATATTGTACTCCTTACTTCTTGACTTGGTATCAAAGCAATGATTCAAGTTTTTTTTTTAAACTGATGAATAGGTCGCGTGAAGAGTACCGTGTGAACAGCAATTTCGTGCACATGAACAGTAACTCAATGGACAGTGATTTCATCCCTTGCAAGTATTTTTGATACTTCAATCCCCACCAGGTGCAACTAGAGTATTGGAGGTGGTTGGTGGACTGCATAGTTTGTTTTGGGAGAATCCTAAGTTTGTTGTGGGCAGCTTGTGTTATAAGTAATCTGTTTGTGCTATGGGTAATTTGCTACTTGGGTTTTTGGACCATTTTTGCTTAATGTGATTTTTGATCTGATCTTCTCTTGATTTTTTTTCAATTCTGTTGCTTCAAACCAATATCATGGGGTGTGACTAAGGGGCATGTATACTCAGTTGGGTAATTCGGGGCATTTGGGTTGATTTGTGAAGAAATTTTAGTAGTTTTGGTGAGTCGGCAATCTAGTTTCTGCCAATTGGTGATGTTTCTAATTGATTCTACATGTTATTTTGTTGGTTTTTTTTGGCCAACCTATTATGAATTGTGGTCGTTTTGATGAGTGGACAACCTTGTTTTGTGCCAAAGGTGATGAGATTTTCGGTGATTTTGGCTTTATTTTGTACCCTACTGCTTTCATTGTTATCTATCTACCTCGCTGTAAATTATTTTCACAAAATTGTTGTTTTACTTCTCCAATCTTCAAGGTTGAGCACTGTGGTGATGGGTTCTCCGCCAAAATTGTTAGGTTATTGATTTACTTGATTAGTTGAGTTTGTACTTTGTAGCCTTGTTGATTTTGCACTGACATGCTGCTGCTCTCATTGTAATCTACTGCTCTTCCACTGCCTCAAGTTTAACCTACTTGTTGATCTGTTACTTGATGGTTTATTAGACTTGTAGTTTCTTATGACAGAGTAGCTGTTTGTGTTTTTATTCCTCATGGTGCCTTTGAATGGTGGTCGTGGTCATCGTTTTGGGTAGAAGTGTACTTATTGCGATGGTACACGATACAATAAGAATTATTGTTATGATAAGTATGAGAGACCAACATATAATCATCGAGCTTCTAATGATACATCTCGAGTACATTAGACTTCTACCAATGGTCCAGTTGCTCCAACTCCTGCCTCTTATAAATATCTTTCATCTCAGTTTCGTCAGCTCATCCAATAGATATCTTCATTTTCTTTACATTCCTTTATTCTGCCTACCAACTGCACTAATAAAGGTAACCCAATATGTATAGTTGTTCAACCTCCTTTGTCATCTTGGATCATTAATTTAGGAACTAGTGTTCATATGTCTGGTAATTCTTCCCTATTTTCTAATTTTCGTTTGCGTAACTCACGTATTGTGTTAGCTAATTGTTCCTTTCGACTAGTACTTGAGATTGACGATCTCCGTCCTACTCAATTCATGCCCTTAACTTCTGGTTTGTTTGTTCATAATTTTTCTTTTAACTTGTTATCTGTGAGTTATTAACTAAAGTCCTTCTAGTGTTTCGTGACATTATCTCATTCTTCTTGTGTTTTTCAAGACTTCAAAACAAAGAAGGTGATTGGTGTAGGACATGAAAACAATGGCCGTTACTACTTAGATCCTGATGATTTTGTTTTTGCCTTGAGTGCTACTGTGTCTCCTCTTCAGTGGCACTTTCGACTAGATCATCCCTCCTTGCAAAAGTTACATCGTGTTATCTCAGGTTTGAGCTCTCTTCTGTGTTAGAATATGAGGCTTGTCAATTAGGTAAGTATTACCATAGCTCTTTTCCTCCTAGTTCTTCTGGTTGTCAGCCCAGTCTGTTTCATATTGTTCATTCAGACATTTAAGACCCTGCAAGAGTCAAAAGTATTTCTAAATTTCAGTATTTTGGTATATTTGTTGATGATTTCTCTCGTATGACTTGGTTGTTTCTTATGAAAGACCAATCTGAATTGTCTAATGTCTTTACCACCTTTTATAATAAAATTCTAGTTCAATTAGATACCCTTATTAAGGTTCTTCGTTCTTATAATGCCCTTGAGTATATTCAATTATTTATTTAAAAAAAAATTGTATAGACTGTGGTCATATCCATCAAACTACATGCCCTCGTAACTCCTAACTAAATAGCATTGCCAAATATAAACATTGTCATTTATTTATTAGATATTGCCCACAGCTTGATGTTTAACATACATGTGTCAAAACCATATTTGACTAATGTTCTTACTTCAGTTTATCTTATTAATTGCATACATTCCCTCATTTTGGACAACAAACCTCCCTACTTATTGTTTTATCTTGAAAGACCACCATTTGAACTCCCTCCTCGTGTCTTTAATTGTGTTGCATTTGTTTATCTTCTTAGTCTGAGTTTGGATAAACTTTCGTCTCACTCAGTTAAGTGTGTCTTTTGGAGATATTCTCGTTCTTGTACTCAAAAAGGTTATTAGTATTATGACCCTATCTCTCGCAAATACTACGTCAGTGCTGATGTTACTTTTTTTGAGTCATCGTCTTTCTTTTCTGCATCAAAACATACATTTTTACCAGATTTAGTTTTTCCTAGTCAAAGAGAACCCTTATTGCCTATTATACCAGATTATACATCTTCTTCCTCTTCGACTACTACACCTTCCTTACAGGTTTATCGTCGTTCCAAGGACAGACAAGTTGTTTTATATGCTCTAACTCCACAACTATCACCTGATTTTACTAAGGTTCTGCCTTCTAAGCCATCAACTAGTTCATTCTCTTCCGATTTGCCTATTGCTTTGAGGAAAGGTACTCGTAACTGTACTAACCCAATTTATAATTTTGTTTCCTTACATCGGTTTTCCTCATCATTCCATTGTTTTGTATCTACCTTGTCATCTGCAGTTATTCCTAGTTTCTTGACACAGATTTTGACATCTTCGAGATGAAAACTATGGATGAGGAAATGAAAGCTCTTCATGAGAATCAAATTTGGGATTTCATTTCACTTCCTTCTAGGAAACAGCCAATTAGTTATTGTTGAGTCTACAATGTGAAAAATCTTCCTAATAGCTCTGTCGAGCGTTTAAAGGTTCGGTTGGTTGCCAAATGATATAACCAGACATATGGTGTTGACTGTTATAAGACATTTTTTCATGTTGCTCGACTTAACTTTGTTAAGAGTTTTTATTTCGATTGCAGCTTGTCGTGATTGACCCTTATACCAACTGGACATAAAGAATGTCTTTTTACATGGAGATTTACAGGAGGAGATATACATAGTTCAACCCACAAGTTATGTTACTTCTGGTATGGAACAATTGGTATGTTGTCTGAAGAAAGCACTATATGGTCTAAAACAGTCACCATGTGCTTGGTTTGGTAAGTTCACCACTGTGGTCCTTCAGTATGATTTTCAGCATTCTACTTCAGATCATTCAGTGTTTATTTGTCGTTCTATCTAAGAGGTTATCATTCTCATCATATATATTGATGATATTATCATTAGTGGTGATGATTTTGATGGTATTACCATTTTTAAGCTCTATTTGGGGTAGCAGTTTCAAACTAAAGATTTGGATCTTCTTCAATACTTCCTTAGGATTAAGATTGTTCGGTCAAAGTAAGGTATCAATCTAGGCCAACAAAAGTTCGTATTGAATTTGCTATCTGAAACGGGTACTCTTGATGCTCGTCCTATGAATTTTACAATCAAGTTAGATGCTGATAGTGGGAAAGTTTTTGATGACTTAGGACACTATCAGAAATTGGTTGGTAAACTGATCTACCTCATAGTTACGTCTCCCGATATTACATTTGTTGTTGGAGTAATTAGTCTGCATGCTCCTCGCCATGGCTGGCTCACATATGAAGTCATTTAGGCCGTTGCTTAGGGCCCCATTTGGGATGGGACCCCCATTTTTTAAATAAATAGTTATAAATGTAACAACATTTTCTTTTGATTTTGTTTGGTTTGAGCTTTATCCTTTTATTTAGTTACAGAGTAAAAAGTCTCATTCTTTAAAATATCTAAGGTAACTCGTATTTTAGATACTATTTTATATATTTTCTATTTGACAAATTAAGCAATTCATCCATCTATCAACCTATTACAAACCATAATTAATGCAATTAATCTTTTCATCACGAATCACATATTCGCATATTTGATACTAACTTTCAAAAGCATCTCCAAGTCAAAAAAAAAAAAATCAATCACATCTTCTTGATAGTCTCTCCCTCCATATATCTCTCATTTTTTGTACACTTAAAAGATTAATTTTTTGAATTCATATCACTTTGGGTTCAGGTTATAAATTCTCTGTGATACTTAGTATCAATCCTAATAGTTTAGTATTGTTCTCTAACCCCCTAAATGGTTATAATTTGACCATAGATGGAGTATTTTTTAGTATTGATCATAGTTATCAAATTATGTATCGGAAGGCGTATCGTTTTTTAAAAATAGTGTATCGTATCATGCATCGTATCGTGTATCGTAAGATATGGCGTAATTTTAAATAATTAATTGTAAAATATATATGCTTTTGAAAAAAAATCATAGGCTCATAAAAACATAACATTTCATTAATATTCCACTTACTATTCAAGTCACCAATACAATTTATTAATATTAAAAAAATAATAAATGATATCAAATTAAATTAATGATACTTATATATACTTAAAAATAAAAAATTATAATGTAGGGGGTATTAAATGTAATTCTTCATTCTTATAACCACAGTCGTGAGTCTACCCAGTACCCACGACTCATGAATGAACACAGAGAGCCAGAGAGAAGAGCAAAAGGCGATCGCGATGCTGATGCCGGTGGAGAGAGAGAGAGAGAGGAAGAAGACGAACAGTGGTACTTAGGATTTCATCTGAAATTTACAGGTTAGTATTGCTATTTTTTTCAATTTCAAAAATTTGTTTGATTTGCTTTTACTTTTGCTTTTGCTTGGGTGTTTTTGTTAATTTGTTGCCTGGTAATTCTTGTCTTGGTAATTCTTGTTTTCTTCATCTCTGTTACCTTTTTTTTGGCATTTTCTCTATTATCTGATTTGTGGGCTTCGGTGTCTTCATCTCTGTTGGCTTCGGTGGCTTTGGTGTCTTCATCTCTCTTGTTTTTGTTTCGGTGTCTTCATCTCTGGTGCAAATCAGGCTGTCAAAAAAAACAAAATTAAACAGCGACTTCGCGTATCGGTGCGTAACGGTACGATACGTATCGTATCGTAAAAACGTATCGTGTATCGGACGATACAATGCAAAAACGATATATAACTACGATCCGTATCAGTTTAAGCCTGTATCGTGACGTGTCGTACGATACTAACAACTATGATATTGATATTAACTTTTTGGTTGCAATTTGACCTANTATAACTACGATCCGTATCAGTTTAAGCCTGTATCGTGACGTGTCGTACGATACTAACAACTATGATATTGATATTAACTTTTTGGTTGCAATTTGACCTAAGAAAAATTATAATCTAATGCGTAAAAGTTTTAATTTTCTGTAGATACCATCTTTGATAACATATTCTTACCTATTAGCAATACTCAAATAAAAAAGCTAAATTAATAATTTTATATCTCAAAACAATAAATTTTAAATAAAACTCTAGTTACATTACTGGTTTACTAATATTAAGTTTTCAAAAGGCCATGTCTAAAGTTTCGCTTAGGGCCCCATTTTTATTGGGCCGACCCTGCTCCTCGCAAGTCTCATTGGGAGGCTACTTGTCATATCCTTCGTTATCTTAAAGGAGTACCGGAGAAAAGATTATTATACTGATAGATGATATATTTCTAGTTATTCCACATTTATTGATGGTAATCTTGTCACTTGGCGTAGCAAGAATTAGAATATAATTGTATTTTCAAGTGTAGGGGACCGTTTGTTTTGAGTATTAGAGTGGTATAAGGAGGTGGTATTAGGAAAATAGTACGTGGGACCCATCTTATACGTTGTTTGTTTGGCATTTTATAGTCAGTACTATTTTTCGGGTCGTAATACCGACCCGCTATGAACAGTAGTCATAATGACTTGTAAAAGGTCTTAATGAATACCACCTAGGGGGTGATATTATATTCTTGATATAGGTATTATAAACTAAAAAGACCGAAATGCCCTTCGGTACAATTCCCATACAAAAGCCTTGCCCCAATTTTTGACTTTTTAAAGGTTAAAATTGTCTTTTACATTGGTTAGCCGCAATTGTTAACTTTTTTAAGTAAGTATTACACAGATAATATTTGTGATAAACAAACAACGAGAAGGATGAGATTATAGTTTAACACCGGTCAAAATAAACTATTGGATTGGAGTGGAATGAATATAAAACCTTATACCACCTAAATTTTATACTCAAAACAAACATGCCCTAGAGGTGGAATATTGGGCTATGGCTCACACAGCATGTGAAATGATGTGGGTGTGTGCTCTACTTCATGATATGGGGATTACTATGCCCTCTCCTATGCAGATGTATTGTGATAATCAGACAACTATTTTTATTGCTAGTAATCTAGTGTTTCACGAGCGCACCAAACACATAAAAGTGGGTTGTCTGGTGATTAGTTGAGTGATATTTTTATCAAACTATTGTCTTGTGGTACCTTAAATAATCTTTGTTTCAAATTTGGTATTTTTTATCTTTATGCTTCAACTTGAGTGGGAGTGTTAGAGTTTTTATTTTTATGTTTTATATTTATATAGGGTAATATTGTAATTATCCACAATAGGGTTCAATATAAATAAGATAAGAGTGCAGGGCAACACTGCTCACACACACATTATTCTCTCTTTTTGTTCTCCTTTTCTCCTAACATAATATTATACTCTTTATTTCTTGATTAAGTGCATTGACCCACAAAATATGCCCAGACGTCTATATGTCGTCATGGTATAAAAGCACCACATCACAAAGTAATAACCAATTAACTAAGAGAAGACTTGCACACAAGACGAACTCTACATGGTATAAAATAGCATTAGGCTACTAAAAACTCAAATAAATTGAGAATGTTTCAATAAACAAAACAAATTGCCGAAAATGAATAAATAAAAGTGTGAAAAATGAGAAGTTTTTGTACAAAATACAGGATTAAAGCTTCATCAGACCAAGACATCAAGTAAATGGTAGATGCAGGTCATGAAACGATTCCATGCATGCAATTTGAGGGAAAATATATATAGAAGTCCATAATAGGATAACGTGCAGAAAATTATCATGGCATGGTCTGAAGGTGGGGGATGTAAACTCAACATACCTTTGCAACCTCCAGAAAACCTTTACAAGTGTCTTCAAAATTGACCTGTGGAAGTGATAAGAAATAATTGTAAAAAAACATAAAGCAATATCTAAGGATACTAAATGCATGCACTCCACAATATTCAATGCAGCAGATATAACCTTCAGACTGAGAGATTGAACTATTGTGGTAGTGGACTAGGGCAGGGCCCTTGCCACAAAGAAGCTTCTAAAAGAGGTCAAGTTCATCACCGTAAGCATGTCTCAAGGTTCTTTGAAGTCCCAATTCAATGGTAATATATGTAGCTGGTGAAATAGTGGTCTCAAAGAAGCGAAAGAGGGAAAGGGAAAGAGTCCACAACACCTCAAGTGTACTGTAGATAATGTAATCGGCATACATGTGTTTGAAGATCAGAGGTTGTCAAAGCAGAGAAAGGGAACCAACAACGCATTACCATAGAAAATGTTTCCACATCTATTGGTTGTAAGCAATGCCTCAAACTCCAAGAAATTGGCTACAGAAGAGATGCTTTGAGAAGATTAGTTTGGACTTACTATTATGGATTGGATGGAAACAACCCAATAGATCTAATGTCATTAAAAACTTCTAGCTAATTTTACGAAAAAAACTTCTAGGCATAAAAATCGGTAACTTTTATGCCAAATATAGTCAATGCCATTTCTTATTATCTCATCAATTTCAACAGAACTGCTTAAAAAACTTTAGGTGCTGCAAATGAAGAAGGGATTCTCTCCGAGTAGGAATTAACTTGTACAGGACATCAGGGATTCAGACCCTATTACCCCATTATCTAATGTCAACTAGTTTTAGGCATAATTGGCAGAGACATGATTGTTTTCAACTAGATATGGACTTAAGATGACATATCTTGTTCATCAGGATTTTCCAAATTTTCAGATACGGACTCAAGTTCACATAACAGAGTAAGAACAAGGAATCATTCTTTCAGATCAAACTAGGATTTGTATTTAATATCGTCAGAAATCAGCAAAAAAATGAAGTTCCAAACATATAAACAAAAGAGATGATCAAGGCAGATACAGGTATAAAATCCATCATTCACAACAACCCATGGCTCATTTTTTTTATACCCCAACAGCAATGGAAAGAAGGATAAAACAGAAAACATCAACGAGCTAATTTGAAAGACGACAGGAAGAGCAAGCAGCAAGGCACACCCATAAAAGATTAAAGTTGGCAATCCATAAAAAAAACAAATGGCTCTTTCACTAAGTTTTTTTTCTTTTTTTGGGTAGGGGATGGGGAGTTGTGCGCACTGAATGGCAATAGGGTACCTGCTCTGCATAGCTCTGAGGAAGAGCTTCTATTGTGCTGGTGCTCAGCTCCATCGCAAGATCATAGCAACGCAGATTGTTGTTAATCTGTCATGCCAACTTATTAGCAAGAAACAGATTTAGAAGTCTGATAATAAAGAAAGACTGCACAATTCAACACAAGTTAGAGCTAGACATCTGAAAATTTGACAAACCATGGCACATAGAGGTTCTAGACCAATTTCAGATGCGGGTTCTTCAAATCTCTGCCTCTCAGCTGATTGAAAATCAATCATTACCTGCAAATGCTTTGTAAGTATACAATCTGGACATTAAATATACAATGCCACACACATACACAAACAACTACAACAACGGCCAAGGTAGGTTCTGGTGACACATTCATCAAGCAAAAGTATCTCTCAGGTGGCGAGGTCATACAAACTTCCATAAGAAATTCTGATGGCAGCAGCTCTGTGCTGCAGAGAAAACTACCGGGATATCTAGAGTTTGCATCATTCCCCTATACTGGAATGACTGAGTACCTAGGAAGCATGAGCACTTCATTTTGGGCATACTATTGGTGTCGGACATGTCTAGGACACGGACACGCTTCGGACACGTTAAAATGAGTGTCTTATTTTTTTATTGTTAAATTTTTTTTAGGACACGTTGGGAACATGCGGCTGAAACGTTCAGGACACGTTTTGATATTTATTTTCAATTTTTTGAGAACTTTTCAGATAATTTTATAATTAAAAGTTATTTTTATAATTTTAAAGGGATACGAGTCACAATCATAGTATAAAAAAAGTTATAATCATTACATTGAACATAGGACATGAATTTAACATAATTTTGGATACGAATATGAACTTGTATACAAATGGAATAGTCTTTTAATATGACAATAATGTGAAAAAAAATGGGATTACAAAATTAGAGCTCTTGTAATTTGATGAAAATTAGTATTACGAAATAAAATATTTTTAAAAATAAAAGTTGTAAAAGTCATTGATTATTGAATTATGGATGTTAATGTTGAAAGTGTATCGGTATATCTTATATTGTACTTTTTATGCAGTGATATCATGATGTAAATTTTTGGAATTAGGGAAATGATGAATTAAAAGATTATTATGATAATATTTTTATTTTATTACATGATTATATATATATATATATATAAAATACATATTATTTATCGTATCGCTAACGTGTCTGTATCCTTCTTTTTTGAAAAATTTCATGTCGTCATGTCCGTGTCGTGTCGTATCCGTGTTCGTCCTTCTTATGCGAGTATATTTAGCCAGCACAGGCAATCCATGCTTACTGCGACTCAAACTATGTACCCCATACTTTTTCATGAAGATTTTCTTCAAATGTAACCATCACTCGGAGAAATAAGTTCCCAAAAAGAGTGACAAGCTCTCCATAACATTTCAACTTCTCATATTAACATATGAAAAAGTGTTCACTAACTCTGCTTAATTCATTTGATATTTGTTGCACAAAAAAATATAGACAAAAAGCTAATATGCTTGGCTTATATTTGCCAGCACAGAAGACTTATCTCAAAATGCAGAGATGGAACATCGTTTATGAATGATGTGGGTATGGTGAGATTATCAAAGTGGTTCTTGAGTCCAATGCAGGAAGAGATAGGGTATCTTTTTTGGGTGGGTGAATTGGGATTGAAGGTTTACCGTTTCATTTGTGGAATGAGGAAGTGTTTAGGAAAATTGGGGATATTTGTGATGGTTTTGTGGAGGTGGATACAAGCACTCTGCTTGTGCAAAATCTTTTCCAGGTAAAAATTAAAGTAGCTGGGTGCGATAAGGGTTTCATTCCTTCATTAATGTTGAATTCCAAGGGAAATGTTGTCAAATCAGAATTATAGTTACGTCGAGGCTTGTATACACAGCTAAGCATTGACAGAAGCTTAGGAGTTTGTATGGTAGTACGAAGAGATGGTACACCAGTCGGGAGGTAGAAGATGATGACATGGACAAAATTTGTACACNTCAATTAGTGCAGTAAAAAGGTCATCTTTCCATGTTGGAGGGGAGATAATTAAGGGGGTGGTTAAAGGTAATCAGGCGTTATTGAAGGATAATTCAAATTTTGAAAAATTAGATGGAGATGCAACTGTGAGTGGAGGATTAAAAGATTTAATGAAGATATGGGATCAATGGGTTGTATTACACTATGGGCCAATAAATCACCAGATGGGCTTTCTAAAAGAAATCGCGGGCTGTTGGTGGGAAATAGGGCCCTATTGCAATTTGGGTCTCTCAATTTTTGTGTTAAAGAAGAGGGTGGAAGCCCAATGTGTGTGGGTCAACTTAAAGAAAAAAATGTGTTATTTTATGCAGAAGAATGCTCCGACCCAAAATGCTTTAACCCACAACCTGAATTCTTTTAAGTGGATTGAGGAGAATAAGACTCGATCGATTAGGGCAAATATGAAGAAGACAATGACATTCTAGGGTCCTTTCTAGTTCATCACGGCGAAAACAACAAAGAGGAAAGAGAAGATATTGATGAACATTGTAGAATGAGCCCGGGGTTTGTAGCACGAGTTCGAGAAGTGTGATGTGACGAAGGAAGGTTTTGATCTGCCAGAGGAGATTAAACAAAGATGGTCAAACCAAGCAGGTGGGATGAGTCTCAAAGAAAGTGCTCACTTCATGGGTTCCGATGAAGACCTAAACGATGATAACAACTGCGCAGAAAGTTCACAAAGTGAAGATATGGAGTCAGATAAAAGCAGCAGACGCAATTATGCTGTGTATCAAATTGGGGAATTATTTGATAATGGAGATGGTATGGATCTAGTGAAAAATGAAGACCGACCATTGTGAGGTTTTCAAATCAAAGGCTGAATTACAGGTAAGTGTTTCAAATGGACAGCAGTCCAAAGATTCTTCTTGTACTCTTTTCTGGGCAATTCAATTTATCATCTTGTTTTGTTGGGTTTGGTTTTTTTTTTTTTTTTTTTTTTTNAGGTCATCTTTCCATGTTGGAGGGGAGATAATTAAGGGGGTGGTTAAAGGTAATCAGGCGTTATTGAAGGATAATTCAAATTTTGAAAAATTAGATGGGGATGCAACTGTGAGTGGAGGATTAAAAGATTTAATGAAGATATGGGATCAATGGGTTGTATTACACTATGGGCCAATAAATCACCAGATGGGCTTTCTAAAAGAAATCGCGGGCTGTTGGTGGGAAATAGGGCCCTATTGCAATTTGGGTCTCTCAATTTTTGTGTTAAAGAAGAGGGTGGAAGCCCAATGTGTGTGGGTCAACTTAAAGCCAAAAATGTGTTATTTTATGCAGAAGAATGCTCCGACCCAAAATGCATTAACCCACAACCTGAATTCTTTTAAGTGGACTGAGGAGAATAAGACTCGATCGATTAGGGCAAATATGAAGAAGACAATGACATTCTGGGGTCCTTTCTAGTTCATCACAGCGAAAACAACAAAGAGGAAAGAGAAGATATTGATGAACATTGTAGAATGAGCCCGGGGTTTGTAGCACGAGTTCGAGAAGTGTGATGTGACGAAGGAAGGTTTTGATCTGCCAGAGGAGATTGAACAAAGATGGCCAAACCAAGCAGGTGGGATGAGTCTCAAAGAAGGTGCTCACTTCATGGGTTCCGATGAAGACCTAAACGATGATAACAACTGCGCAGAAAGTTCATAAAGTGAAGATATGGAGTCAGATAAAAGCAGCAGACGCAATTATGTTGTGTATCAAATTGGGGAATTATTTGATAATGGAGATGGTATGGATCTAGTGAAAAATGAAGACCGACCATTGTGAGGTTTTCAAATCAGAGGCTGAATTACAGGTAAGTGTTTCAAATGGACAGCAGTCCAAAGATTCTTCTTGTACTCTTTTCTGGGCAATTCAATTTATCATCTTGTTTTGTTGGGTTTGGTTTTTTTTTTTTTTTTTTTTTTTTTTTTTTTTGGGGGGGGGGGGGGGGGTGGTTT